AGGGACGGGGGTGGCAGGGGGGTTCACATGGGAAAAGGAAGTAGGAGAGAACTAGGGAAAAACAATAAAAGCATCATAATAGAACAAAAATACAAAAACCAAAGCAAATAAGTAAAAAATAAAACTGCCTTGTGGGTGAGAGTCCTGCTCCTTTGATAGTATTATTGCGTACATGCATCAGCTGTGTGGGGCTGGGGTGGGTAAAGAAGAGTACAAGAGAAGAAACCAAGGGAAAAGGATAAACCTGGTGAAAAAGCATTGCCTGAGTACTGAGAATGTCTACACCAAATTGCCCACATAGTCTGCTATCCACACAGGGCCACCAGAGGCCAATGAGGTAAGAAGTTTGGCTGGCTGGATTGGCTCAGGTGCCCCAAAGGAGCAACTTGTGTGTTAGTATGTGTGTGTGTGTGGGGGGGGGGGGGACTGCACAGAAGTGGCTCATATTACTAGTTAATGGTAAAGGGGCTCCGTCAATTAGTATTGCTGATCTTTCACTTAGTATGTTTATCTTTTAAGTTTATTTTCTCATTTTTAGGAAGTGGAGGATTTCCCTCCTAGTGGAACCTCTCTGGCAGTTGCTGAGGTAATTTCCCATCTGGTGGCCACATTCCCCTGTCTCATTGCTTGTCCCTGTTGATGCTCTATGAACCTGGGACCTAGCTCTTTATATGATTGCTATATGGTCATTGTGAATTATTCTCTTCAGTATTATAAAATTTTAATTATTTCATGGTTGGATAGTTTTTGTTCTGAATCAAACTTGTCTGAGATTAATATCATACTGCACTATTTATTTCTTTGTAGTCTCTTATTTTTAACCTTTATGAAATTTATTTTGGGTGAATCATTTATATTCTTCCTAGAATTTGTATTTCTTTTAAAAAGGAATCCACCTGGATAACTTTTTTGAGATAAGCAACATAGTTGATCTTAGCTTAACCAAACTATATATTGTTATATTGTCATAGAATATAACAAAATGTTGTTATACTATATATTATGGTGCAAGCCAGCACATATTTCACTATATGGCTTATTTGAGATCTTGGCATATTCATATACATATATACATATGTGTAGTAATTTTCTTTTAAATTTAGATGCTTTAGATTTTTTCTCTTAATTGTATTTTATACTAACTAGCAGTAAGACCAGCAGCATATAAAACAAAGCCAAAAACCAGTGGTTTAAGAGGGCAAAATTTGCCGTGTTTTCTTTCATTTCAATAAGCAAAGTAAGGAAACAATTCAAGGCTGAGATGGAGAGTTCCTGGTCACCATGAAACACCCAGGGTTGTTTTACTACAACGATTATGAACTCTTTGTGCACAAGAATAAGGAGCTCTCCCAACTCTGCCAATGAGTGAGCTCTTTGGTAAGCCAAAGGGACAGACAAGACTGCTGTCTGAAAGGTGCACTCTGTCCAACGTCCCTTCACAGGATCACATGCTTCTCTCTGGGCCATTCGTTCTAGGGGATTAGTCTCCATGGTCCCAGCTATGTTCTGTTTGGAGAGTGTGTGTGTGCGCACACACATTTCATTACTACTTTGGGCCGGCATTGGTTTCAGGACCCATGGATTGCATTAAGGATTGAGTGCCAGCTGGCTGGTGCCAGCTTCCCTCTAGACTGGCAAAATAGTTCCTTCAAATTTAAGTAAACTTCTAGTTTAGTTGCTTTAATCCCAATGCTGGGTGAAAAGTACCATCGTTGGGGGGGAAATATATTTACATACTTTGATTTGTACTGTGACCAGCCCATCCTTTATAATTATTGCCCACGGCCCTCAGGTCATTTGAAACTGGGTATAAGGGGAAAGGCAAGACCCAAATCATATCTCCGCCAGTAAATTAGTGCCTTTTTCCGTGAAAGATAAAAGCTGCTTAGTCTCAACTTTATTTATTGTCACATGGATTTGGGTGAAAAATATTTCATCTTTTTTTCCTTTCCAATTCTATAAGTTAGAGGACTCTCAATTAACTACATATAGCAGTTGCAGAAAGGGAATGTCTTCCTCACAATCTTTTTCACAATTAAAACATCAACTTTATTTTGTATTTAAAATGCTTTACAGTGAACCAGGTGAAGGTTTATGGAACAGGTCACCAGTTTAACATTCAACAATCCATACACATCTTCAAAATATCCTCCATTCTAATCCTCTCAATATAACACCACTTACTCCATTTTTCCCCTGCGTTTCCCATTGTGATTCCTACTCCTCTCCTAAACTTTCTGACCTTGGTTCTTGAACCAATGCTGCCCTATTGATTCTAAATGGTTAAGTATCCTAAGAGGTGGTACCTCCCTTTCATTACTGCTTCCCGTGTAGACCCAGCCATCTGTTGCTTGGCTGTAAATTGAGACCAAGGAGTAAGT